TGGCCCTGCTCAACCAGTCTGCTTGGGTGTTGGAGATACCCGAGATGTGGTCCGCCCTGAGGGAAAGGAGGTGAGACTCCGCCCACCGACAGAGGCGCTCGGCCTCCCTCATTAGGCGTGAAGACTGAGTACCCCCCTGCTTGTTGATGTGAGCTTTGGCCGTGATGTTGTCGGTGAGAATGAGAACGTGGTGGCCGCGTACCTGGGGGAGGAAACTGCGGAGAGCCAGATGGACGGCGCGAAGCTCCAACCAGTTTATGTTGCACAGTTTCTCTGTCGCTGACCATCTGCCCTGTGCTGTAAGGGACTGTAGGTGAGCGCCCCATCCGGACAGACTGGCGTCTGTGGTAACGGTGAGTCTTGGGGGCTCCTTGAGGAGGGAGGTGAGCACACTTGGTGAGACCTTGACCTTGCGCTTTGAGTTGCTTGATCCGGTTCTCTGGTACGGGAGCAGGAACCACTGGAGGGATCTGGAGTGGAAACGGGCCCAGGGAATAATGGAAATACAAGATATCATTTTACCTAGTAACTGGGTTAGTTCTAGAAGGGAAACCCTTTTAAGGCGTCTGATGTGTCTGACTGATTGTTGGATGCTGAGGATTCTCTCCGGAGAGAGAAACACCCTCCCTTTCACAGAGTCTATTACCGTCCCCAGGTGGGTTATCCTGGTGGAGGGGGATAATTGGCTTTTCTTCCAATTGATGAGGAACCCATGTTCCTGGAGAGAGGTTAGGGTGATTTGGGTGTCCCTCACTGCTTGTTCCCTGGAAGGGGATAGGATGAGGATGTCATCCAGGTAACAGTGTAGTCGCACCGGGAGGGATCTGAGGTGGGCGGCTAGAGCAGCCAGGACCTTGGTAAAGGTTCTGGGGGCAGAGGCCAACCCAAATGGGAGTGCCACGTATTGAAAGTGGAGGTTATTGTAGCAGAAGCGCAGAAATTTGGAATGAGAGGGCCGGATTGGGATGTGTAGGTATGCCTCAGAGAGGTCAATGGATGACAACCAGTCTCCCTGTCTAACTCCCAGGAGGATGGATTGCAACGTGTTCATTTTGAATTTGCGATATACGAGATGGCGGTTAAGCCGCTTTAAATCCAGAATCGCTCTCCATCCCCTGGAGTGTTTGGGAACCACAAATAAGTGGGAGTAGAAACCCTGTCCTCTTTGAGATAGAGGAACGGGCTGGATGGCCTGTATGTCAAGTAGGTGCTGAATTGCTGAGTCCATGAGGCTGCGCTTGAAATGGTTCTTGGAGAGGGGACATGGCATGAAAAAATCAGGGGGGGGGGGTAGTTTGGAATTCGAGGGCAAGGCCAAACCTGATGGTGTCCCTAACCCAGGCGTCAGAAGTGGAGGAGTCCCACTGGTTGGCGAAGGCTTTAAGACGCCCGCCAATGGGAATTAAGTCTGGTGGCTTAACGGGAACGCCGGAAGGGCCTGTTGCCAGAGTCACGAAAGGGCCTTACCACCTCTTCTGTGTCTATCAGAGGAGTCGGTCCTGTCCTGGGGCTGTCCCGAGCCTTTGGTACCTGGGAGAGAAGGGGGATTGGAAAAAGGGACGAAAGGGAGCTCTCCGAAAGGGCTGCAGGGATCTGGGTTCTGACTTGCGGATGAGGGATGGAAGGAATTTGTTCTTATTCCTTCCTTCTATTAAAAGGGGATCCAGGGATGGTCCGAACAGTTTATTTCCCACGAGGGGAGCGGAGGCCAATTTCACTTTATTCTTGAGGTCTGCCTGCCAGTGCTTTAGCCAGAGCAGACGGCGGGCAGAGACATGGGAGGAGATGGCACGGGTGGAAAATTTGACAGAGTGAAAGGTAGCGTCGGCCAAGAACTCGGCCGCGGCCGTGATCTTGGCTATATCCTGATAGGCTCGGACATTGGAGGCTGGGACATGTTGCTTAAGTTGGCGAAGCCAGCGAATGGATGACCTGATGAAGAAGGAGGCCGTGGCCGATCTGATTGCCCACGCGTCTGACTGATGAGCTCGGTGTAAGGCCAGCTCCGATCGTTTCTCCTCCGGCCTCAGGGCTTCTAGGGGGTCGCTGAGGGTGGAGGAAGAGGCCAGGCCCACAATGGGTTCATCAACCTCCGGGATGCTCAATAGGCTGGAAAGCTCTGGGTCTAAGTTGAAGAACTTTTTATCATGGGCCGAAGGGGCGGGGGGGGCGCCGAGGAGGCCAGCTGCTTGGACACCAGGTCAAGGAAGATGGGGGGGGGCGGGGTTGGGATGACCTCGGCCTCCACAACAGGCTGTTTAAAAATGGAGTCCTCTGGACCTTCCAGAGCGAGAGGAGAGGGGTCAGAGGGGTTCTGACTTGTTAGACCCGAGATATTCCTGGCTTTGAACAGGAGGGATTTGAATAGTTGGGGCTTGAAGAGCCCTACAAAGGTGGGTTGGCCGGGGGTGAGACCCTCGTCCTCTGACATCTCTGCCTCGGATGGTTCTATGTCGGAAGGGGGTTCGTTATAGTGTAAGGACCCCAAGTCAAACTGCTCCTCCTCCCTGTACAAATCTAAGTCCCCTTCCGCCTCCTCCTCATCCTCCCTTACTGAGGTGGAAACCTCCCCCTGATGGGGTACCTGATCCTGGGGCGGTTCCGATCTGAGAGTGAATGATCTTATGGAGTGAGACTCGGATTCGGTGACCAGCGGATGTAGACCAGGCCTGGCCGCCTGTTGGAGACCTTCCGCAATTCCTTGGCGGATAGCCAACTCCATCCAGGATCTCAGTTGCTCCGGAACCTCCTGAATGGGAAGGAGGCAAGGAAGCTTCGGAACGAAAGAAAAGCGGCGTTCGGGGGGGGGGGGGAAACGGAGCGAAACAGAGCGTCTATTAAAGCAATGTGGATCAAGAGAAAAAAACGGCAGAAACGGCAATGAGGAAGGGGTGGGGGGGTAGCTTGTAAAGTTTGCTAACCTTCCCCCTGGAACCCCCTGGGGCCAGGAGGGCTTCCCAGGGGAGTCTAAAATCACAAAACCAACTGCGCAGGGCTAAGAGAGGAAATAAGCTAATACAACCTGAGAAGAAATATAGGAGTCAAAATAAGGCTTTGCTGAGACGGCCAAGAGCACTTCGAAAACACTGCCTACTCTGCGAGAGGCTGAGCATAAACTGGGGAATGCTGTAATGGAGTCACGTGATGGAAGGAGGAGCGTTCCTCAGGAATTTAGCTCAGCCTACAACAGCAGAGACAGAAGCACCACCCACTCTCTGGATGATCCGAGCAGCTCTAAGGAGAATTCAAGGTTACTTAAAGTAACTATTGGGCCATTAATACAGAAAGTGTCATATCGCAACTTCACCAGTTCTATTCAGCTGTTTGGAAAACAAGCTGTGATTATTCCAGTTAAAGTTCATCACATTACTTGATGCACAATCTTCTAAGGTGTGTGTGTGTGTGTAAAACAGACAAGGAACAATATACTGAACAAAAAAACTGACCTTGATTACATTAACCATATAATAATTTAGACAAATAAGCAAATTATATGGCCACATGTGAGAAGTCTGCATCCATCTAACACAGAGACCCCCAACTTTTTGGGCACCAGGCACCAGCTTTGTGGAGAGAGGTTTTTCCAGAGACCAGAAGGGGCATGGTTTCATGTGCTGCTTGCATCCCACAGAGGCTCTGCTTGTTGCATGGCCCGGTTTCTGGCATGCCATGGCCCAAGGCCAGTCCACAAATTGGGGGTTGGGGACCCCAATCTAACAGATTCTTAAAGATGTGATTCATAATAATGTAGACATATAAAGGTTACTTTTAAATAATTTTATTCGGAATCATATTCCATTTTTTAGCACATGTTAGATTGCAAATTGTGTGCATTGCCAGATGCTTACTTGGGAATTAGCTCTAAGTGGGATTTCATTTTGTATAAACAAGCACTAGATCACTATGTAAAAAAAATTCTCATTAGTTTGCCAAAGTAGAATGAATTTATACTTGCCTAATCTGCTGTTACTATGCATAACTTGTCATAATAAGCAAAGCAATTGGTAGTCACTTGATTGTAGGAAAACTGACCATTGCAGATGAGATGCTACAGATACAAGTAATAGTACCTGTAGCACTAGTCTGCTGTTTAATACTAGCCTTCATTAAACAATGTACAAAATCTATAAGGAAAAAAGAATCAACCTGGCATTTAAAAGTTTTTTTTAATCATAATTTTATCTGGCCTATTTTCCACAAAAACATTCATAATAAATGTGTTCATTTAAGATGCTCCAATATCTTTTGCTGCAAGAAGCAATGATTATCCCTATGAAAGCTTTTGTAAGATCAAACAACCATTTACTAAGCAGAGAAATATTGGGAGCCAATCAACAACACAAAAAGCCTTTGTTGTGAAGATGATACTTTTGTCCTGCCTTTTTTATTGATAACTGGTTAACATACCTAAATTATTAGTATTATGTATTAAATTTGTACACTGCTCACTCCACGATGACTGTTTCGTTTCACCCGGAGGCATAGGAGCAGAACCTGAAAGCCGATCTGATCTAAGAATTAAGCTGGTAGGATAATCCATAAGGGGAACTGAGCTACCTACTCTTTCTGTATTTAGATGTAGGATCCTCCTACCCCGAATCTGAAGCAGTCCCAGCCAGATCCAGGTTTAATGCAAAAGAGCTTCCTGTAAGGAAGATCGTTGTCAGGACAAAAAAGGGAAAGCGCCAATTGCAAACTCTAATATTCGAATTACACGTGCGAGGATCATTTAACGTTCTCTTTGAGCCCCTCTCCCTTGCAAAAAAAAAGAAGCCCAGAGGTCCAAATCTGGATTTCCAGGTCAGCCTTCCCTAAATTGTTCTTGTAAAAGCTTAAAACCGCAGTTAAGAGCTTCAAAGAAAGCAAACCAACATGAGTAAAGGTCACCGGGCCACGTTTTTTACGTGGACGATCCCGATCCATCCCTCCCGCCGCCCCGCCCGCCCCCCATCTGTCAAATCGTTCCGAGGATTTTTCTCCTCTGCTGCTCAGCCGCTCACCATAACTGAGAAGTTGCTCCGGCCGCCACCGCAGCCCCGGCCTCCCACAGCCACCAGGCCCCCTCGCAGGAGCAGCAACAGCCGCCCCAACCCTGACCCGCGGGGACTCAGCATGCCTCAGCGGGCATCTCCGCCCTCTCCAGCCAGCGTCTGCGCCTGCGCCGCGGCCGCCCCAAAATGTTTGGCGGCCGCTAGGGGGAGCCTCTCGTCGCCATCCCACGCAGGTGCTCCCCGACCTGCGCAGATCTTTGCTGGGAGGCGCAAGTCGATCCTACCAGGCTGGGCCCGGAAAGCGTGGCGGTCCCTGGTTTTCCCCGAGAAAGCGCTTGGCTTGAGCCTTTCTCGGATGCCCGAAATGATCGGCTTGGGTTCATTCAGTTCAAGGGCGGTAGCCTTTGGGTATTCTCAGAGTTGGTAGGGATTGAAAAGTGCCTGTATCTCTTTGGGTCTTTACGCTAATTCGGGCGAGTGATCATTTGGCACCTTCCCCGGCGGCAGCTACAGGTGGCGCTTGCAAGGAAAGTTCATAGAAAAAGGATGGGAAGTAGCATTGTCTGAAGCAGAGAAAATATAATTTATCTAGTACTCTGCTGAGTTAAGAAACATAATATTCTCAGGGAGCACAAGGAAACGGTAATCACTTTTACAAGCCATTCTATCAGCTCATGTAGTCTGTGTACAAAAATGTTCGGCTATGAGAAAAAAACACTTTAGTTATCAAATGTAAGAGGAAAATAAGATATGCCTGTATCATCTCTTCCAGATCTTGATTCACTTTTGGTTCTGTTTTCTGTCTCATGCACATTTTTGGTATTTTATATTGGTCTCTTATGCTGCCCTTCCAATGAAGCTTTTAAAAGTTATAATAGTCTACCATGAATGGATTTATTATGAAATAACAGCTCTAAAGATTTAATGTAGCCACAATGCCATAACTATCCACGTTATAGGTTATTCTTTTAATTTCTGTTGATTCAAATTCTTACAAACACAAACATCAAAACAAAAAAACACCATTAAAAAGGCAATGTCCATGAAATTATACATACATTTACACCCATACTTAATTTAAGCATCACAGTATCGTGCATGAAATTATATTTCCTCTTTCCAACCTACTGTGACATTGTTTTATGTCCTTTTAAAATACTGAAGCATGTCTCCATTTCTAGTATAAATGACATGAAGATTAGGATCTATTAAATGTTTTCTTAATTCTAACCATTTTAATCAAATACTGTGATCAAAGCACAAATGTGAAGGTGTCAGTAACTTACACATTTATCAAATTGCATTAAATTTTCAAAAAGTGTATCTCATTAAAGCTAAGGATTGTTTCTAAACCCAATTGACACTTAAATGTATTATTTTCATTCTACAATCGTACACACCTGCAGTTATTTTGAAGGTGTATAAGAATTTCTACAATAGGAAGCAGAGATATGTTCACTCTATCAAGATTATCAGGCCACTTTATTTACACACACACACACACACATACACACACACACATGCCATTAAAATGGATTCTGCAGAGTATAGATTCTATAGGGTAAAGCTGTCCCATCACCATTTAATTAACCAACTGCAGTGTTCACTGTTGTACATTAAGAAATTTCTCCTGAATGATAATGTGCTATTTTTAATATGCAATAAACTTAACAGGACTCGAGTTCATAAGACATTGAGGAATTCACTAGTTTATCAACTTATTCTGAAAGCAGATAGTACTCAAATCACATATCATTCCTGATGCTCCTGATCGTGACCAGGTATTAACCAACGGATGCTCTCTGTCCGAATAGTAGCATACATGATGAAGCTGATAAGAAACAATAAAGAAAATAAGAGGAGCCAATCTATTCCTTTACTCTGTGTGCTAGGCAGGGGACCAACATGATCTTCCATGCTCACCATCACATCAGATTTAGGTTGTATACCTGAAATGAAATATCTAATTATTACTTTGATGCAAGATGAGGCACCATAAATCATATTTAGCTATTTGCATGTGTAAACCTCCATTTTCTAGCTTGAAAATAGCATACTTATCATCCGCTAAGACATTTACTATACTTTAAAATTTATTCACTGAAGTAAAAATATATTTCCAGCAAAACTATTAATGTTACCTATTTAATTCTATTTCCATTTCATTTGTTAAGAACTCTTGCAGCCTCAAGAACAGTAAGTTTGTGTTTTCATAATTTCCATAATATATACTTGATTAGCCTGTTTTATCTCCTCATGTTACCAGGGGAAGGTGAAAGAAAATAAACAGGCAATCATCCTGGTCTAAAATCATATCAGTAAAGGGAATAGTGCCATGATTTTTTCTCTCCTTCAAGAGGCAGTGAAGAAAAATATTTTATATATTTATTTAAAACATTCATATAGTCACCCATCTTTCAACCAACTCCAGATCAAAAATACTGCTTCTATCTTAGCTTTCCCAATTATTTGCTACAGCATGTAGAGAAAGTAGTAGTTTTATCCTCTCTTGTGGATAAAGGAAAGCTGAGAAAACCTGGTTTCTTTCCTTGTTAACATGAAGAGAAATATCTACAGAAAAAAAAATACCTTTCTTGAATTCACCCTCAGTTCTCAAATATGCAATCCCAAAATAATCAAAAGAATCATAAGCAATAACTCCTGCTGTCACAGAGGAACTGAAATATATGTACGTAACCAATATTATAGTATGATATTAACATTGATCTTTGATGCCAAAGTATGTTTATATTATCCAAATAAGGCTTCTGAGAAGCAAATGACAGGATGTCAAGATCTTCAGCAGAACCAAAATCGCCAGAAGTAGAATATTATTTGTCTAGCTAGGACTGCAACCTTATTTTGTATTCATCCAAAATCTTAAGTCTTGACCATAAAACTGCTGCCACTACCTTCCTAACTGGAGACAAAACAATAATGTTCCTGGAAATAATAAGTATTTACTAGAGTTAGACAGGGCTATATCAATTCTCCTAATTTATAGTTCATCTTACCAGTCTGATTAAAAATAAATGCTTTCAGTGTTTCCAGAGTTCTATCTGTATGGTTAAATCTTGCCATTGGCTTAGCACCTTGAAAAAGGAGGATATTAGGAACAGCCACAGTTCCAAACCGAGTTGATAAACTGCAAACAGTAAAGCAGAAGAATCAGTTTTGCTAAACAAATTTTTGATTTAAAAATTTATAAAAACTAGCTCTCAGTTATTCTTCATTAAACTAGAATCACCATGTAAAACAAAAACAAAAAAAGTGAAGGTCCTGGAGTAGGGAGCAGTGGATGGTCAGAAAGTATTCCCTGCCGTTACGTGTCATTATTACTTTATTACATTACATTATTATTATTGTAAAGACACATTACATTATTATTGTAAAGACACATTATGAATGTATAAAACAAAGTTAACAATTATCATTCAGAAAAAAATAAAATTTACCTGCTATGTTGGGAGGCATCCAAGGCCAAGAAATGTAGTGTTGGGAACACTCGTGGCAGACAATTAAAATGAGGAGCCAAATTGGCAGAAAAACGACACCAAGGGGTATAAAATAAGACCAAGGTGCAGTCACTGCCATTTGGATTTAAAAATTCCATTAAATCCTAAAATGAGATTAAAAATTAATTTTAAAAACCAAGTGCTACTCAGAAAAGCAAAGAAGTGTCTCTACATGAAAGTTCTAACTAACCATTCTATTATAAAACATGTTTCAAACTTGAACAATAACCATAGTATGAATTCATTAAATTGATTACATGCCATTGTAAACTTTTAGCGACCACGTGGATTTTTTAATGATGATATGTAGAATGAATTTGAGAGCTCTAATTTCCTAATTTTAAAAGTAAACATGCATACTGGCCAGCTAGTTTATTATATATTTTGAATATCAGTTATTGAATAGTTTCCTGCAAGAAGAAAGACACAATCAAACCCATAAAATCTTGTGATAGTTTGATATTGACAATAGCCTTCAAGAGTAAACACATAACAAGAAATCCATATTCCTTAAATCCAAATAATAGAACATAAGAAGTGTGCTGTATCAAATTAAAAGCTATCTAAATCCAGTAATGCAGTCAATTCACACAGAAGGTAACAAACTACCTTTGGAATAGCAATCAGTATGCAGAACTACATTGCCTCCAATATTGCAGATGACATTCATTTTTTTTGATACCTCAAATATTCTATGAAATAAATACTATCCTTCATAAACATTTTTCTTAACAATTTTAGGAACAACAATGCATTCCTAGGAGATTAAAGTTGGATCAGTTGAAATACCAATCTTCAGATTTGATGAAAAAAAGTTCAGAAAAAAACAAAATAGAATCCATCATCTTTATTCTCAGAATCATTTTACATGGTTATACCTCTCAAGTTGCATAGCATTGTGTTCTGTAGATTGCTGACAGTAAGAAAAAAAACATATATTATATCCAAAATTAGTAGGATAATATTTAGCTCAGTTAACATGCTTCTCTATGTGTGCTAAAAATCCAAGGGCTGCATTCACATAACGCCTTGTGGACTAGTTTTAAAGTTGATTATTTTTTTTGGTGACTTGGTAAAAAAAACAACCACCAGGTTATGTGGTTAGGCTATTGTTCAATGTTTTATTCACAACAGGGATTAACTGAATATCCATTTCAGTTATATTATGCGAAGTCAATTTGACAATGAAGTTCATGAGCTCCTTCTCTTCATAGGAATACTGCCGTTCCATTAATCTAAAAAACAACAACCCAGATGCAACCTCATGCAAATTAAACAAGTACTGTAATACAAATTAAGTACTATAATAGCATAAAGAGACACATTTTTACTCTAGTCCACTGTTTCTCAACCTTGACCATTTTAAGATGTGTGGACTTCACCTCTAGAAGTCCCCAGCCAGCAATAGACTTCTGGGTGTTTAAGTCCACACATCTTAAAGTGCCAAGGTTAAGGAACACAGCTGTAGTCCTATCCAGACCCTACTTTAGCTGCACCTAAGCAAGACCATTGTTGTCAGCCCAAATTGCCAACTTTCAGCTTAAGGAGAAATACGTCAGAATAACTATCACTTACTTGGGAAACATTCAAAATCTGTAATGTGAAATTTGTCATTCCTGTAATG